AGTCAAAGTCGCAGTTTTTGTGAAAAAAAAAATTGGAAAAATTCCTTTACTTTGAAACTAAAATAACTGCCTACCAACTTTTTATTAACATATTTTAGTATGGGCGGCTATACGTGCCTCCCGGCGTCAATTTTTTTTCATTGACTTAGATTTTCACATTCATTAGAAACATTGAAGGTAAATAAATAAATTTCTGGATATCGATGACTAACGGTGAAAATTCAAAGAAATGAAATAAAATACAGAAAAATATACCGGATTTACTAAAACAATAGTGAAAAATATCATAAAACTCGTTAGAATATACATTTGAATCACATGTTTATCATAATGTCTGAGTTTATATCACAGCAGGATTTACATTGAATAAAACCGGGAACAGAGGATTAGATAAATTTTGATGCCGCCGATTGTTAAAAACAATCTTAGTTTAATTTAATCTGCATCGTAACTGCGCACAAATTAAATATTTTTAGAAATAAACCGTTTTATAGGTTCGATTACTTTAGATTAGATTCCATTAGTCTCTTTATAATTGTCATAGTGGGGACTGGATTAATCTATAAAAAGAATGTGATTTGAGCAAATTATCTTGCTATCGATTTTTTTTATTCGAATTTACAAAAAGGATATTTTCTCACAATAATGGAATTATATTATGAATACTTGTTAGTTTACTGTAATCGAAAAGTGACCTTTAAATTAAATATTTGACACATCTTTTTATTATGAGATGTAATAACAAAATTCTAGAAAAAAATATTAAATTGTTCGAAAGCAACTATGCGTTAAATTTATAATTGTCATCCAGTGATGAACATTAATTGCCATCTAGTGTTGATTGAAAAAATAAGAAGATGCGCAAGCTTATGGACGATTTCGTGGTACAAAACCTGTCCGAGATGTAGCTGGCGTCACCGTCAGCCTGTTCGAGATATAGTTTAGCTCTGCGCCGATGCGCGCTGATAGCCGTTTACAGCGCAGCAGATAAAGAATACTGTACCGAAGTTCTACTTTCGACAGAGTGAGTGATTGCCGGAGACAGTGTTGGTTTACGGATTTTGGGTACAGTACGTTAATAATAAGGAATTTCTATCATTAAACAATTTAATATATTATAATATATGATTAAAAAAAGAACTGCGTTAGAGTTGGCTTCGAAATGAAGATCGCTGTTATTTCGTAAGTAAAATATTATGGTAAATGTCAATAATTGTCATTTCGAAGCCAACAAAACGACTTTTTTCGATCATACGACATATTTAGTAAAATATTTTTTTATTTTTGTTGTTTATTCTATGTCTAACACGATTAAATTTTCATTACATAAACGCCGATTTCATCAAAAAACATATTACAGATATTACACATTTCAATATGGCAACACTGTCGCTTCCAGTTCCGCACCGTCTTCGATGGCCGAATTAGAGAAAATAAGTGTTTTATGTGTCGGCCGCAGAACAATTGATGTAACCTATCCTAACCACCGTACAGCACTTGAGACGAAAATGGGAAATCAAATCAGCCTTGTCACAAATTCGCCCATTATTAGTTTTCCACGTTTTTCCATGTATATGATACATAATCTTTATAAAAATTAAGAAGAAAAACAATAAAAAATTAATAAAATGACGCAATTATTTAGCCGATAACGACTGCGCTGTTCTCCAAGCTCGGTCTACCACCGTTCTCGTAAAAAAATAGGCAATGGATCCCGTCAATAAAAAATCGACAAACTTTTAAAGTGGCCAATGTAATAAGTTGACTGCATAAATTTATTTCAATCCAATGAATCCACTAGCTAACATATTGTTCTGTCTTATTTCCTCTTGTTTACAGATCAGTTTCAATCAGACAAGACGTTCCATTCTAATATATTATGCATAAATAATATATATTCTGTAATTTGCTAAATATTTATAAAGTCCAGTATGTAAAATGTAGAATGTATAGGAGGGGAGTTAATCACCGCGATCTTATAGATCTATTGTGTGTTCCCCTTTCTTGAGTTATAACGAGTTATAACTCATCATACAGTCTCAGGGCTTTATCAAAAGCTAGTATCTTAGACGGCTCCACAGAGGCCAACTCTCCCTCCTCGATATCAGTCGTACAAAAGTTCATGGCATGAATTGTCGTCGTCTCGACGCACTCAGTGATAAGGTGTTCTGGTGTTTCCCCTTTTCCCCACAGAATCTGCATTCGCCGTTGTTCCTCAGCTTCAGCCTACGGAGGCATTCGTACTAACAGGAGACACTGTCCTGTTAGAAACCCCGACAATCCGAAGATTGTTTTTACTTAGATCAAGGAAAACCTGTGATTTTTCTCGGTCGTAAGTTTTGAGGAACTTTTTCAAGTGTCTTAGACCGTTGGAGGACATCCATTCCAAGTTACGGATGGAGTTTTTCAGATTTTTCAGTTCCGTTTTCAGTTGGTTCCAGTTTGGAAAACAGAACGGTTCTGGTTCAAATAGTGGAGTGTTCTCTCCTTTCCTAGCTAGAGCTATTTGCTTTTTCATTGCCTTCTATCCCTTGGTGAGCAGGCACCTAGAGTAGGAGGACTTTATTTTCTTTGCCTAATTTGTTGAGCTTGTGTATAAAAAAGTCCCAGAATATTTTACGCTCAATTAAATACTTCTATCTAATCTCTAAATATCTCAAAATATATGCTAAGGTCACAGTTAGATCCGAAATTTTATACAGTACATTTAATTATATAAAGAATACCCAAGGCAAAATAAAAAGAAATTATTTATAGTAATGAAAGGACGCATATTATTTGAATCTTGTTTGTTTAAGTGGCGTACTAAGTGAGTCAACTATAATAAAACCGCCACAAAGATACAGAGAGTACAATCTCGATGGTGCTCTAGTCGCTTGGCACACTGAGCCCTTTTTCGCGTCTACGCATATCAAAGTCGCACAATTTTAAGTGCGGTCGCGACGCAAACCTCCGTTCTGTTTCTATTTGAAGCTGCACTCGATCGGGGTCATCCACACTCCGCGACAACACACACATATACATGCACATAAAATGAATGCAAGCTAAATTTGCCGGCATGAGTAAATGTCCCGATATCGTATCCCTCCCGCCGCATCAGCATTACCGTAAAATTAACCCGATTATTTTATTGAAACGTTTTACTCCCTAGAGGCCTCTCAAACGGGAGACTGGAATTTCGGATTTTGTAATCCGAACGCAGAACATGCATGTTCGTCTGGGACGTCTGGGATACAGATCAGCAATTTATTTATTCACGGTAGGCATCATGACAGCTTCTGAAATGTTTATTGCATTTTGCATTAATACATTTTTTAATGAAGATTACAGATAACACTTACGTTTTCAGTTATTAAAAATATTTATAGTTTCCCTGATGAATTGCTTGATTGATGCAGGTTGATTTTTTATAGTAAATGTGGTATGGGTTATTGAGGAGAGGCAAGCAGGTTCATATCACCAGCTTTGCCGCTACTACTGGATAAGTGAAAATGGTGGTGCTCCCAAAGGATTACCCAGAGGCTGCAGTGACCACCTACCAGCAAATGCTTCTAGAACAGGTGATACTGGTCGAAGTAGTTGCGAGCGGATTGCAACGCAACGATCGACAAAATGTTGCTCAGCTGCGATTTGTGGGGATACACTTTCGGGTGGTCATGCGCCTCATAGATTGTACATTTCAAGAATCGGCGGATTGGTTGGTGGAAACCGCACCTCAGCCGAGAAGAAGAGAAGAATTGGCAGGCGCCGGGACTGGTTGCAGTGAAGGGAGAAAATATCCCTAAAGAGGCGATCATTACGGTCTTTTTGAGACCTGCTGAGCCTCAGAACTCCAATGTAAGGACATCGAGTTGGCGAGTAATCAACTCGAAGGAGGAGGGTCATGGTCAGGTCTTCACAATAAGGAGGCAATAGATATATATACTCTATTATAGATTTGGGACTACACCGGTATCACTTCTAAGGAGAGATCATGTTAAAGAAGTGGAGAAATTGAAGACAGATCCTCAAGCCTCCACCTCACGGGTACCTCAGCCGGAGACAAGCTTCTCGACTGTGAGGGACACGGTGGGCCAAAGCCTAACCATGGAAGGGTGTATTTATACTCTCGTGGGAGGTCCACTCGTCAGGAGGAATATCCTGTTCACCCTACAACAGGAAAATCCCCATGCTTGATGAGTTATAGACTGTATGATGAGTTATTACTCAAGCTCATGAAAGGGGGACACAATAGATCTTTAAGGTCACGGTAATTAACCCCCCTCTCACTCATTCTACATTTTACATAGGCTATTGAGATAGTTACTGCTTATACATAATTAGGGAGACTATTAATTCTTGTATTCTGCATTAATTTTGAACCATATATTTTTATTGCCAATTATTGTTTTTATTTTTCATCTTTATATCTGTGTCTTTGTTTGTATTTTACGATATTAAGTATGGATATTGTATTATAACAATGTTCTATATCTGCAGGTTTTAGCAACTACGTTATTCGGAAGAAATAAGTTATTGTCTATCTAACTAAATTGTTAAGAATTTCATAGTTTGTTATTCTCGGACACAATAATATCAATACTTAAATATTTTATTAAATAATACAAAAAAGCCAACAATTACTACTAAATGTCGATAGCTTGTAGTATGAATTGTCAACTAATTGATCTGTCAAACCTGACATCAATTTTGGATAAATCTGGTAAAACATCAACTTTCAACTTTTAAACATGGTCAAAATGGTTATTGTCAGAATATTCTTCAGTATATTGCTGAAATAATTCAGATTGATTTTTTTATTCGATCCAAATCAATTAATTACATAAATTGTTGATAAAAGTGTGAATGTCTAATAGAAAGACATAACGACAGGCCTAAATGTCTCCAAAAACAAAATGCAAATAAATTACGAAACTTAATACAAAAAATAAATATATGTGTACATGTAGAATATAAATTAATATGTAAAATAAAAAAGAATACTGAACGCTTTATTTCAGCAGGGATGAGCGGAGACCAGCAGCGAGGCGGGACGAATCAGCGTGAACTCTGGAAGACGGGACACCAACCAAGGATGGACATATTAGAAGTACAAGAACCTGAAAAAAGCAGTAAATGAATTTTTTATTTTTACGAATTTAGTAAATTATTTTAATATGTTTATTATAACCTGCAAAGGATTGAAATTTAAAGTTCTTAGAAATATTATTCCACAAATGTGGCGTTATGAAACTAAAGGATTTTTGGAAGTTAGCTGTTCGGTGTTGGGAAATTTTAAACAATGTCAAAAGTAGTGAAATACTGAGAACAAATAAGAAGACTGTTTTGTAGCTAAAATTCGATTAAAATATATGAAATTGTCGTCAGTTATTCCTGGATAAAATAGAGAAATTATTAGGATGTGGCGTTATGTGATCTCTAAAAAGAATGTTAAAAGAAACAAGGAAAGTATTTGTATTTTTTCTAGAGAATCTAGTGTTTATGGCTGTTTCATAAACAATATCGCCGTAATAAATCAAGTGTGGACTAATATAAATCCAGAACTACTGAGCTAGTATACCAAAGTAACCTGTGGCAAAATTGGGTGTAGTCAAATATGAGGTTGTTCACTGATGAGAACGCCAGCATTGCGAGGTTTTGGAAATGGATACCATATTTTGGAAATTTTCACCCTTGGGTTGCTAAAGATATTATTATTGCTTGCTGTTATAAATGGCATCTTTAAATTTTCTCGTTTTCCTGTAAGATTCCTTATGGACAATCTGGGCTTCCGATCACATTATATTGTGCTGCTTAGACTGTTGCACTTCTTTGCATATGTTTTTATACTCGCTATGCAGTACATGCGGAGGACGTTGTGTCCCTCCAAAGTACGACTTCACTCTTTATCTTGTTTTGGTGCCTTCGGTTTTGTTTTTAAAGGCGCTTCCGATACCATTTCAAGTACTTCAACACTTAGCAGTAGTTCGAATGTTGCTGATCATTTTTTACTTGATCATTTTTGATGCTTCTTTCAAATACGGAAGCATCGAGAAAAGAAGAGCATCTTCTTCAAAAATTTTGAATGGCTTATGGTTGTAACTTTTCGTTGTAAATGGAAAACGAATAAAAATTGTTTATATTTAAAACTTTTGAAAGTACGTATTTAACATTATGGTAATTTTCAAGTAACACCACCTCATTTTGCATTATTTAAACAATGTCTTAATGGATTAATAATTGTTTAAATAATGATCGTTACGTAAGTCTGTATTTTAAAATTAGTATTGACTGATTAGCCTTCTATTGATAATAATTATTCATTATCATTTTCTGGCATTAATAAAATATCAGCTGACTTGATACAGAGGTCATATTTGAGTGGTTTTGAATTTTATGTGTCATTATTTAGGTAAAAAAAAACTAAAAAGGAACTATCCGAAACCGGAAATAACCTAACCTAACCTATCCGATAGTCAAGCAACACTAAAAGCGATTAACTCAGTAACCATCAATTCGAAGTTGGTCAAAGAACGCCTAGAGAAGCTGAACAAATTAGGCAAAGAATAAAAGGTCCTGCTACTCTGGGTGCCCGCTCACCAAGGGATAGAAGGCAATGAGAAAGTAAAGGATCTAGCTAGAAAAGGAGCGAACACTTCCCATGAACTGGACCAGAACCGTTCCGCTTTCCAAGTGGAAACCAACTTAAAGCGGAACTCAATAACCTGGAAGACTCCATCCGTTACCTGGAATGGGAATTCTCCAGCGGTCTAAGATACCCAAAGAAATTTTTCAGAACTTACGACCGAGAAAAATCAAAGATTTTCATTGATTTAAGTAAGAACAATCTTCGGATTGTCACGGGGTTTTTAACAGGACACTGTCTCCTCAATGAACACCTGGATAGATTGAAGCTAAGGAACAACAGCGAATACAGATTCTGTGGGGGTAATTGGGGAAACACCAGAATACCTCATCACTAAGTGCGCCGAGACGGCAACCATTTGTGTCATAAATTTGATATGACTGATATTGGAGATGGAGAACTAGCCTCTGTGAAGCCATTTCAGATACTAGCTTTTGTCAATGCCCTGATACTGTATGATGACTTCTATATACTCATTACACTATATATACACTATACCGTATGATGACTTCTGATAACTCAAGAAAGGGGGATAGTTAAACCCCCTCCCAAACGTTCTAAATCCTATGTAAAAAAATAAAGTGGTGGGTAATACATTAAAATATTACGTTAGCATAACTTTGTTCATAAATTTATAAGGAATTTTAAACATACCTTTTCTTTATTTTCTTAAACATTTTGCATAACTGTTATAATTTATTGTGACAAGCTAAACATATATTACTAATTATTAATGTCATACCTTCGAATCGGGTTATCATACAGGAAGTGAATTAAGGTATCGACGATATGCAAAAAAATGTCCTGACGTAGAAACACACTCTAAAATAAAACATATTAACAAATAAAATAAATATAAAAATTATGATAATTACAACCTTGTGGCAACCTGTTTCACGAGCACAATAATTTTAGAATTGCCGCTATATCAAAACGAAAAACATAAACAGCTATACCTACCCAGAATACATGTATGTACATTTTTCGTCTAAATTTAAATTGAATTAAAATTGTTGGAAGTGTAATGTATTTAAACATGCTTATTCATGTACCGTTTATTTTCCAAACACCTCTTTCACTTTCAAATTTGACCACACATTGGAAGATGAATTAAAAACCTGCTCAACTCGCACTATATTATGAATCAAGCCATCAAGCACACTCTTTGATGATTCACTTTCGTGTTTTTTAGATGCCAGATTTATAAAAAAATGATTTATTTAAACAAAAATGTTTTAATTTCATTGAAGCGTCAATAACCCGAGAAATGTAAATATTGTGATTTTTTCACTGTTTGACAAGTCAATTGTAAATATTTGGATATACATACATATACATAATATATAGTTTTCTGGTTTCGGCTGTTAGATACTTATATCTCTCGTACTTGGGTTTCTAGGTTTTCTTGAGATCATGTCATCATCTGGTATTCTTCATAAAACAAAATAAATCAATATTAACTTTATATCATTTTTTTCTATAAATTTTATGTAACAACATTACATTATTTTAGGTTATGAACGAATGCAAATTTTCAATAATGATTAGGTTAGGTTAGGTAAGGTTAGGTGGGTATTATGGTTGTTTTTGTTGCTCCAGATTTCTATTCTCTTCAGTCCTCACCATGTAATTAGTTAAATCGATAAATTCCATGATTGGGATGGTCATGCAAAATTGTGACAACATAATCAAGTATATTTTAAGTAAGAACTTTCTTACACACTTTGATACAAAAGACATTAGTTGGCAGTGATTAAGTAATAGACGAAATACCTAGCATATTTCACACAAATGTCTATTTTTAATTATGACAATTATTACAAATTAACAATTAAATTGATTAACCAAATAGTACAATTAGAGAAATGATATAATATAGAATATATAACCAATGTTTATTTACAACCACAAATGTATATACAGGGTGGCCCATCGAAAACGTTCCGCATGGCATAACGACCAGAGTATTGTTTTTTCAAAAAATCCAAAAACACGTCAATTTTGTTTGTGGGGGGGACAACTTTTGCCCCAAAAGTGATTGCAAAATCTTCAACCCTCTAAGCGGGGTGTCATCCCCCAACTTTTTTCAAATGGGAAGGGGGCTCAAGTGGCGTCGCAATGAAAAGACCTCTATATTTTCCCGCCTCGTTTTTGAAAATCGGTCGAGTCATTGAGAAAATATGAAGGATTGAAATTTGAAAAGTTTATTTAAACATTTATCAGAGTAAATGATAAGGATAAATTCCTTCGACCAATTTAAGGTTTTTTCTTATTATTTCTAGATGTTTACTCATTTTTTCACTTGCCACAAGGTTGAACGATCAGGTGCGGTGGTTGCTAGATAGCTGTTCTGTGATTTGTGCGTTGAAGTTCTTCACAATATCGTTAAACTGACCTACAATAGAATTTCCAAAAATACCAGCCCACACATTCAATTTCTGAGGGTTTTGTGTGTGCACGTCGTGAAAAACCTTGGGGTTGTCCTTAGCCCAGTACCGACAGTTGTGCCGATTAACTACACCGTTCAAAAAGAAAGTACACTCATCCGAAAAACACGCATTAAATAGAAAATTATTATCATTCGCCACTCGTTCACTCATACTTTCACAAAATTACAAGCGACGCGACGATCAAAATCATCTTTGTTGAGTTCTTGTCCCAACTGAATTTTGTACGGGTGGAACTTGTGTTTTTTTAATATCCTTTGGACACTTGTACGATAAACGCCGTGCTCATTGGCTAATTTTCTTGTACTCAGCGTACTATCCATGGCAACTTGGCCCAATACGAATACCTCCATAGCTTCATTTACTACAGGATTTTTCCTCTGCCTCTTTTCATTCATAACTCAATGACTTGATCGATTTTCAAAAACGAAGCGGGAAAGTATAGAGAATAGAAAGCCCTTTTCATTGCGGTACCACTTGACCCCCCTTTCCATTTAAAAAAAATTGGGGGATGACACCCCCGCTTAGAGGGTTGAAGATTTTGCAATCATTTTTGGGGCAAAAATTGTCCCCCTCACAAACAAAATTGACGTGTTTTTGAATTTTCTGAAAAAAAGTTATCCTGCCGTTATGCCTTGCGGAACGTTTTCGATGGGCCACCCTGTATATTACTGACGTTTCAATTTTTGAAATTTTTATAATACCTACCACCAACAAGAAAAGAGGAAAGCTCTTTTTTTCCATTTCTTTTTTGCATGTTTTTCTTTCTCATTTCTACTGCTTCTGTTCTTCGTACAGCTTTTTTAAGCACTTAAGCACTTTTTTTTGTGGTGTACCATAGTTGAAATAGTTTTCGTTATCGTCATTTTCTGACATTATTTTGGGTTTTGTTACATAGTATACAAACCATATAGTAAAGTTTTCATTAATGTCTCAAAATGTGAAACCTCTTAACAGTAAAGGAACACTTTCCTACTCGGTATGTAATATACCATTTATTACTGCTGAAAACAACATAATATTATCATATACTTATACC